AGCGCGTCCTGGTTGGTCGAGGCTGTTGACCGGGCGTCTGACGTGGTAAATTTTTTTTAAATTGCGTTTTGATCCCCGATTTCTGATTTTTCTTTTAAAAATACCCCCCAAACTCAATTTTTCACCTCTTTTTTTTCAGAATTGTTTTTAATTTAATTCTTAATAAATTTTACTCCATTTTTTATTAAAATAAAATAAAATAAATAAATAAATAAATAATTATATTTATTAATAAAAAATGAAAAAAAAGTTTTAGTGGGTGTTACAGATGCGATCTGAACCGTTGGATCGCCCACGTGACCTCCTGCATGGAGCCCATGTCAGCGTGCTCGCCACGCGACCTGTACTGATTCGCCATAGCTGTTGACCGAGCCGTCCCACGTGGCTAAACTTTTTTTTTACGATTTTGCCCCATTGTTTTTAAATTTTCTTTCAAAAATATCTCTCGCATTCATACTTTCGCCCATTTTTTTAGAATTATTTTCAATTTCGTTCCTAATTCATTTTTTTAAAAAAAAAATTTCGGCTGGATATATATTTTTTAAAGTTTTGTTCATCTATTTTTTTTTTAATTTAATTTTGCTAGGATGGTAGTGGAAACATTTTGTATTTCTATTATTTAATATTAAAACACATGATGTTTCTTAAAAAAAAAAACACACATAATATATAAACATGTAGACACTCCAAAATTATAAATATTTATCACTTAACATTTACTTAGTGCACGGATAGATATATGTTTTTTTAAAAAATATTTTGACAATAGAAATATTAATAAATACACGTGCATTATGTACACACATATATAATATGGTGAAAGTTAATTTAGTTTACAAGAACATATAGTTTATAAGAGTATTAATTCGATTTAAATTAAACTGAATTAAATTGATAATAAAAATAAAACTTTTAAATTGAATTAAAATAAAAAAATAGAAGTGTGTGCTTTTATTTTTAAAATTATAATTAAATTTAAAAATAAAATATGTTAATATTTTAAAATAAAAAAATAAATATTTTTATATTAACTTTTTTAAATATAAGAAAAAATTATCAAAATTACTAAAAAAATATTGCATAAACTAATATTAGAAATACACACTAATAAAACAATTTTTTTGGTATGATCGAGTCTGCATATAGCCAACAACAACAAATTTAAAACATTTACACTTAGAATTAATCTGATAAAATTTTATTTTATTATTTAAACTTAATACATAAATTATATGTAGCGCCCGGAAAGGAGGAGGAAAGAAAAAACAAAAAAAAAAAAAAGGGGGGGCCACGTCAGCAGCCACGTCAGCAGGCCCGGTCAGCAGTCCCGGCCAACCGGGGCCTGCCACGTGGCAAGATCGCGTCACTCCAAAAGGAGCCACGTTGGCGATCCGCGTGGGTGCGATCCGACGGCCCAGATCAATCGTGCGATCGGACGGCCCAGATTCAAACGCACGGACGGCCCAGATTCAATCAAAAACGAACGGCCCAGATTAAAACGAAATGAACGGCTGTGATCAAAAGGCAAGGGGTTATAAATAGAACCCCCACACCAGACCACAAACCCTAGCCGCCAGCCGCTCGCCGGAGAAGACGAACCAGAGGCCGACCGCCGCCACCCGCCGCCACTCGCCGCCGCACCGGGGAAATTTCCGACCGCCGATCGAGGTAAATTTCATACCCCCGACTCGTTTTTCCCCACTGATTCCTCCTATGGCCAAATCGAAGCCGAAATCCCGGCCAAACGGCCGGAATACGCGGCCGAAGCCCAGCGGCGCCGCCGCGCCCGCTCTCGGTTTTTGCCTCCGACGAGGCCCTTCCCGGCCTCCGTTCGATGCAATTTTTATATCACCGTGATCACCATTCTTTTTTCTACAGGTTGACCGGAGCCGAATCACCAAAACACGAACCTCGCCGGAGAGCCGCTGCACCCGAGAGCGCCGCCGCCGGTAAGCTCCGTTTTTCCGTGATTTTTTGGCCCCCCGAGGGCCCTAAGGTTGTTTTCTGACAAGGACCAATGCGAGCGTGGCCGAATTCGGCCGAAAACGGCCGAAAACAGCCAACCCGAGGCGACTCGCCGCCGCCAGCGGCGGCGCCGTCGCCGGAGCACGGCGGAGCCGCCGTGCCGGAGTTGCGATTTGGGCCGAAAGAGGCCCTGGGCCTAATTTGGATTTTTTTTTGGAACACGTGCAGGTACTGTTAGCGTGTTTCAGTTCCCCGGGAAAAATTCAGGGAAAATTAGGGACAGCCTGCAGGCGCACTGTGAATCGTATTCGGATCCCGAAAACAAGTAAGGACCCCTCACCCTATTTCCTATCACGGTATTAAAGTTCAAAATGATAAAACGGTATTTCTTGAATTAACGCATGTGTGAAATTGCTTAAGGTTGCTAATGGAGCCCGAGTCTAGTGTGATTAATGATTTACTGTTGTTTGGCATGTTTTACACTGTTTTACAGCTTTAAATGCATTATGGGATTTGATGTGTTCATTTTATAATTTCGAATGCATATATTACTGTTTTATTAATTATGGGTTGAATGACTGAAGAACTGATACTGTATGTTGTCTGTTCGGCATGAATTACGATTTGCTTGTTTGTATGTGAATTAATGATGCTTATTGAGGAAAAAGGGAAATGAAACATTGTATAGACTGATAATTGTATGATGGGGACAGCCTGACTAGATATCCTGGGAGATGGTGGACGGACCGGGTCCGTAGGGAACCCTACCGGGATTGTGGTCTCACATGCCGGACGGGGCATGGAGATCTTATGGTTTTGGCGCCCATACCGGACGGGGTATGGGGACGGCCCGTTTCACCCTCATACCGGACGGGGTATTGAGGTTTATGGTTTTGGCGCCCATACCGGACGGGGTATGGGGACGGCCCGTTTCACCCTCATACCGGACGGGGTATTGAGGTTTATGGTTTTGGCGCCCATACCGGACGGGGTATGGGGACGGTCCTGGAAACTGATTATGAATGTTAAAGGTTAACGGGTAGCGGAACCCCTATGGACCCCCACGGATACTAGTAGGCTGGTAAATGAGAAAAGGATATGTTGTATAATGATTGAATTATAAAAGGCGTGATAAGTGCTATGTTTTACAGCTTATATTATTCCATGATTGTGATAATGTTATTATTTTTCTTATATTGTTTTCATAAATTCCACCGAGGTAAGTGGATGGTAAAGGTTTTCATGTTAATAAACGAGTTTATTGTAAATTATGCTCCATTGGTCTTTTTGTAGTTTTCTACCCACCTTTATCTCCGTGACGGTGAGATATCGTGATGTTCTTACTGGGCTAGTGTAGCTCACTCCTTAATTAACCATTTCAGATCAGGAAGACATGGTTCCCGAGCCCGTTCCGCAGGAGGACGACGAAGGGGATGCCTAGAGACTCTGTAGTCATACGCATAGTTTATTTTCGAGTTTTCTTTCTTAGTTAGTTTAACCTTTTATATTTTAAGTACGTTTTTTTTTGGTTTTTTTCCGTGTAAGGGATGTTAACTGAAATTTTGATCTCGCTTCCGCATTCGATATATTTAAATACTCATTTCTTTTTTAATATTTTCCGGGGTCGTTACATTATAATCTTATAGTTTGCACAAATTTATGAATATTCTTAATACTTATTTCACATATTCAATCAATTAAATATAAATAAATATTTTTTCAAAATTACGAAAAAATCAATATATAAAAATTGATGACAAATATTTTTGTCACTATAAAATAATATATTTGCTTTCAGTTCACATGTCAAATTAAGTTATCAAAACCATATTTTAATTATGAACAAATTTAATGAAAATATTTTTAAATTTTTAATTATTGAGTAAGTAAATGTTAATTCATAAGTTAATTTATAGTTCAATTTATTTGAAGTTTTAAAATTCGTAGATGATATAAAAATAAAAATTAATAATCATAAACAAATAGTTTAAACTTTATCGGTATGATTAAATTCACTCTAAAGATTTTTTAAATTTATACATCGTATTTAAAGTTAAAAGTTTAGAAAAATATTACATCAATGATACAATCATTAAATTTTTACAAGTACATAAAATTTGATGCAATCAATTTGTAATAACATGCATTTATGGAGTTAATTAGTAATAATTATATGATTTACTTAATTTTTGTTAGTTTATTTATTTAAATTAATTAATATTTGTATGATTTTTCAATTTATTTAAAATTATTCATAACTTATGGTAAGATTTAAATTTAAAGATGAGATAGAGCATACCATTGTTAAAATTATTTGTTTGAAATACAATGTATAAAAAATATTATTAATAACGGAATGTAAATTCATATACAAAATATTTATACGTTTTAAAAAAATTAATGAGATCATATAAATATTTCAGATGACCAACGAAATAACGAACATTCGTGCCATTGCTCAAACTTTGAAATCTTGAATTAGAAAGTTTACTACTTTTGCTCATGCAACTAAGAGCATTCTTAGCTAGATTATTACTATAAGGGAGGAAGTTATTGGTTGAATGAAAAATTTGTATTGTTTAAATGGTCAATATTTTTAAATAAAATTTGATGGTAACTTTAAGATTAATTCGACGGCTTAGATTTTGTTAGTAAAATCTAACGGTATAAATCATGTAAATGCCTGTTCAAAAATATTTGGGCACAAGACTATTTAATTCTTCATCTCTCTAAAGCGTCACTCACTCTCTCTTTCTCTCTCTCTCTCTCTCTCTCTCTGTCTCTCTCTCTCGCTCGCTCTTCCTTCTTCTTTCTCTCTTCAACATGAGTAGCAGCGGCGGTGGCCCTAGGGTTTCGATCCCGAACGGTGTGAGGAAAACCTTACAAAACATAAGGGAGATAACAGGGAAGCAACACAGCGACGAGGATATCTATGCCGTGCTTAAGGAGTGCTCCTTTGATCCCAACGAGACCGCCCAAAAGCTCTTGTATCTCGGTATACAAATACATATGTTATATCTACTTATTTCATATTAGGTTGATTATGTTGGTTGCATGTTGTACTGGATATTCTTGGTTATGTGTATTTTCCCTATGTTTATGTTCATTTGATGGCTCCGTTAGGGTTTTATGGCGAGGTTATGTTCTTTGCTTTTTGGTCTTTCAAATTGCTTTGTGGTTTAATGGTGTGTTTGCGTTGCATCATTGTTTCATGATCTGCTTGTTTACGTGGGATTTGGTGTATCGGTGATGATGATTGGTTGGCGAGGGACACGAAAGGAAAAAAAAAGGAGTGGTTTTCGGCATTCTGTGCGTGTTATTTGATTCATTGGTAATCAAAATAATCATCTCTTCTATTCCATTTCTCTTTAGTTTTTGTTTGTCTTCTTCGAGAAAAGATTTTTTTGGTTTGCTGAGGAAACAATAAATGGGTGGTACTTTTGCTGCTCTGTTTTTAAAACATTGATCAGGCTTAGCAAACTTGCTGCATTGCCCTTGAATGCAATTGATAGGTTTTGCCGGAAAGATGCAGAAATGCGGAAAAAGGATACGCCACGAAGGTCTATCTGCATTGGGTCATAAAACTAAATAGCTTTGATGCTATGCTTGTTTAAAGTTTATCAGTTAACCCTCTGGAGCTCGTGGAATGTTGTTGATCTGTGGATTTTCGTGTTGTTGTTTGTAATGAAAACCGAGGATTGCATTTTTGCTTGCAATCTGATTGAATTATATATAGATTATCTTTAATTAGTTTTTCCTTGTATAGTTTTCAGTTGATGAGGTCAATCTATCATGGTTCTGGATGGTGTGTAAGTTGATTGTGTGGCCAGAATATATGCTATATCAGTGTAAAAATTTGGAACTTTTTAACCAAAAAAGTCTGGAATTATTTTCTTTCTCTTTTTCTTTTTCTTGGAAGCATAACTAGTTCATTACCTTGATTGCAGATACTTTCCATGAGGTGAGAAGGAAACGCGATAGGAAAAAAGAGGTATATCTATTTAGTGCTTTAAAAGGTTTGTTAATAATGCAAGTTTGAAGCTGTTATTCTTTAAAAAAGTATTAAATGGTTTAGAGGTTTCCCTTTTTGCATCAAAATGATAAAATGCAATCTGAGAAGGATTCTGTGCAATCTGATTAATTTTTGGATTGTGGACAACATACATAAAGGTAATTTTGAGTTTGGGTGATGGTTTTTTTTTTGTTCCTCATAATAATTTTTTCTGAAAGGAGTTTGTTCCTCATGTAATGTTTTGAAAATTTCTTATATCCACCAATTTGAAGAACAAACTTTTTCTGCTGTCATTGTCTGAGCTTTTGAAATTTTTAAGAAATCAGCAATCATATTTTTTTAAACTTTCAAGTACTAATATCTGTCACTGTAAACTGGGTCTTTGTTCTTTTGTTGTTGCAGAGTAATGTACAAAGCATGCCGGGAAGGGGGGCTAGGGGTGGTCGAGGGAACTATTCTTCGAATTATAACTCTTTTGGTAAATCTCTATGTTTTGCTAAAATTTTATATTAGTTTTTCTCTCTCTGAATTTAACTTTTTCTTGAGTTAAATACATATTTTTTAAGAAGTCCTTATGCTGTAACTTAAACTTGAGAACAACATCCTTATGTTTCCTGTGGATACTCTCTATCATCTTGATTGTTCTTTGGTTGATGGGATGGAGAGTTGTAGGGTAGTTAGAGAACCTTGAAAGCTCCAACTTTGAATATTATCACAATGATGCTGGTTGTGGTAAAATCTGCCTAGGGTAGTTGCTATAAGGTTTAAAATATAAACTAATAAAATTCTTATCTAATTTGTTTTCTCTTGTTAAGATTGTTTCCGTTGAATGTATTTACCATGAACACCATTCCTTCCCCTTTTATTTTTATGCATATGTTGGTTAGCTCACACAGTTAACGTTCTTTTCTATATATGAATATCTACCTAGGATGGTTGTCTTTCACGTATCTAAAATTTCATTTACACTGACCTTTCAGATGCTGGTGGGCGAAATGCTGCTGCTAAAAAGGAAAATGGCGTTAATCCCATAGCAGAGAGGAGCTCTATGCCCTCATTGCCAGCTCCACATAAAGCAAAAAATAATGCAGTACCTCGTGTCACAAAGTAATCATATAGTATCTCTTGTATACCAATATGTGGTTTTCACTATCTGTGTGAACAATTGTCCTTGATTCCGGTGTATTTTTATGCTCCTTAAGAAATATGGGTAATCTTATTTGGGACTTAAAAAATGCTTTTGTTTGCAGATCTCAAGGTGCTGTATCTAATAGTGTGTCAGCTTTGACAAATGGGAGCTCCGGTGAATGTCACGGACCACAGTCATCTGGAGCAGGTACTTGTCATGGAAATCTTGTTAGTTCAGCTGTTGATGTAGTCAAGGTTGGGACTACCCAAGTCCAGCCAGTTGTTGCCGAACAACTTACCTCAGGGGCAAATCCTACATTTGTCTCTGTTGTTAGAGTTGACCAAGAGAAATTGTCATCAAAACTTGATCCCCCCCTTGTACCTGCTACTCCAATGTCTGGTGTTTATGCATCTGCTTCAGATCCTGTACTGGCACCATCTCTCTCCTGCCTCCTTACTGCTATAGGTACTGTTAAACATGAAGTAGGGAGCCAGCAGAAAGTTGCTGAACCAAATCATGCTCAAGGAAACAAACATGTGTCCCCTGATATTGATTCTGAGATGTTAAAGAGTGAAAATGAAACCCCTGGAGTTTCAAGCAATGTGCATGGGAGAGGGTCCTCAAACAAATCAAAGCCAGTTGAAAGGAATCAGCCTTCTGAGTCATTGACCTCGCCTTCATCAACACAGGTTGATTCTTTGATTATCAATTCTAAGGATGACAGGCCAGTGGAGGGTATGTTTGCTTCTTGGGATAGTTAATTTCTCTTGTATTACCTCTAGGCTGGGACATAATAAGGTAGATCGATTATTTTTTGAAATGTTAAGTTTTAACTCTTTCCCACTAAATAGAATTGCACTAGTTCATTTGTTTATGAAAAAATTTCAATAGTTCATATGTTTTCTGAATCATTCAACTTGCTGGTTCTTGAGTGCCATTCATTTGTTTTTGGAGCTCTTACTTCTCTAATATTTCTAAAACAGAGGTCACAATGGAGGTTGGAAATGTTGCAGATAAAGCTAACACCAAACTGCCTCCTGAGTCAAATGTTGCTGATGGTCCGCATGTTACATTTCCTCTCCACTTCCAGGTTGCTGAAGCATTAAAAAATGGTTTGACTTTTGGAAGCTTTGATTCTACTTTTATGGTAGGAATAAAAGAAGCCAACGACACCACCAATGATATTAGATCCATACGGGATGTTGAACCTTCTATTGGGAATAGTGAAGCTGCTGGGGAACCTTTTGCTTGGTAGGTTAATTTTTAGTTTCAATATTTTATGGAGTGCTGTTTTCCTTTTTGTTGAGTGTAAATTGCTAAATACCTACCTTTATTCGATTTGTCCTTGGTCAATAGATGATTCATTTGTGACCGGCCTGATATCTTGAACTGGACAAGTTTGAAATTAGATAATATTGTAGTTGTCTATCATCCATATGCAAACAAAAAAAATTATTATATATTATTAATATCTTATCCATTTGCCCCTTAACAAGTGTGTCAATCATGCAGCAGCCAGAGTGAGTCACTAACAGCTGTGGGAGATAATCATAGTAATCCGGAATCACCTCCTCCCATGCTTGAACAAATACCAGAGTCGGATGTTATTACTTCATCCGAGGAAGACTTGAAAAGTGATCAGCTGAAGCAGGAGGTCTTGTTAGATATGGAAGAGCATCAAAACTCTACTGTTCATAATGTCCGAAGCTATAACTTTGGGTTTGCACCTTTATCAGGAAGTCAGCTTGCACAGATTGAAACAACTGAGGTATGCGTTATTTCTTTTCTTTTGGACTTCTCACTACTATGCATATTTTTGATGTTTGACTAAATTAAATTCCAAGTTACTTGTGGAAGACATATATACTTTTTCTTTGAAATGCTAAAGTACTGTTATCTAGACTTCTTATTAATATGCTATATTTTGAGTAGATTGTGGGTTATTGCAATTGTCCAGTCATATGTGAGATCTAAAATGGCAGGTTACTTTTTATATTTTAATTGTATATTCTTGATTTAGTAAATAACCCTCTGGGTAGCACCTCTTTGGTGCTTCTTAGATAGGGTTAGTTTCTTTTCCTAAAAGAGCCCTGGGGGAAGGGAGGTTGGTAAAAAAAATCAGTTAGCTACTGTAGGTATATGTTATAAGACATTTTGTCCTGATGATTCTTGCTTTGTCAAAAATGTAGAGTGTGAGTTCTTCAGATCTCTCTAGCTCGAGTCCAACACCAGCACTTCAGAATTCTATCCCTGCATCTCAACATCAAGTTCCTCTCTTCCGGCAGCCATATCCTCCTAACTTCTTTTCTTATGGTCACTATCTTTCTCCATATTTTGTGCCACCAATGCACCAAATTCTGGGCCACAATGGACTCCCTCAGCAGCCATCAACTGCCAATTTGTATTTACCCGCAGGAGCTGCTGCTCCAGGGGTCAAATTCCCCATTCCCCAGCTCAAACAGGGGGCTAATGCAGGAAATCCTGCTCACGTGGGAATCCCATCTGCCTATGGCTCTTATGGCTCTTCCCATGTTGGATTCAGTCATGTTCCCGCTGTGACTTCCGGAAATTCAACCAGCAACGAGGATCTTGGACCAGCTCAGTTGAAGGAAAATATCTACACAACAGTTCCCTTGGTTGGTTTGCTTCTTTCTTTTCTTTGTTTGTACAATATATATATATATATTTTTTATGTTGTGTGGCTTCTGATCAATTGCTAAATGTTTTTCAGAGTGAAGGTTCCGCCTTATGGATGCATGCACCTGGGCAAGATCTATCCAGCTTGCAGGTCAATTCATTCTATAACCTACCAATTCATGCACAGCATCCCTTGTTCTCACCTGCACAGGCAGGTCACGGTGCCTTTGGTGGAATATATCAGCAGCCGCAGACGTTAGCTGCTCCTAATGCGAATCCGCTCCTACAACAATCTCAGGTCATGGCCAGGGCAGTTGAAACAGCTGGACCCCCAGCCACTGCGTATCAGCAGCCTCAGCTTGCGCAGATGAACTGGAATACTAATTACTGAACCGACAAAATAATTGTGCCATGAGGACCCAACTCAGAGATACATGGTTTTATATTGTGGACCACAGGAAGGAAATCTGGTAGAAGTTCCCCCAATTTGAGTGTAAATATTAAAAAAGCTTGGGTGGGAGATTTGTGGGAGCAACCTTGAATTTGTGATGGTTGCCGTTTCTCATTTTTATTCACCTGGTTTAACTCATCACCTCCCCATCATTTTGGTCTTTTACTGGGTAGCAAACTCTTGTTATTTTGCTAGACCTGGTTCCTCCTTAAGATATAGGAATTTTAAGAGGTGGATAGAAATAGGTGGGATTTTTTATCAATTTTTCCTTTCTTATAAGTCTCACCTGTATATTAAATTTTGATAGTGATCATTACAGCTGTAATTGTTATAAGGGGAATTGAATTGGCATTTTCCAGTAGAGTAATTCAGGTCCTCAAAACATTAATATTGTTTAATGAAGCAGTTTCACAAAAACTTTGCTTTGTATATTTGATTCCATCTGTTTTCCTTGCTGGATCATGACTGCCTTATAATTTGTGTTCAACTTCTGTTTGTATTTGATAAAGGGAAAGTTGACATGATGTTCCGACATCTTTTGATTTGTGCCTTTTTATAGTTAGATTTAGTAGAAATACACTTTTTGTGGTAGAGATGGAAAGTTTGTCTAATGTTTTGTTCCAATTGAAAATAAATTACCCCATAAGTTCTATAATCTGCACAAAAGTACAAAGAAATCAATTTCATTATGTCCTTATGAAATGGCTTTTGTGAGTACCTAATTAGGACATGAGAGAACATCTAAAACAAATAATATTTGACTGTCCAAAATTAACCCTAAAGTTTTCCTTAATAAAATCCCCAAAAAACTCTCTTATCTATACAGCACAAACTTCTATCCTATCATCTCTCTCTCTCTCTCTCCCTTGAGCTGGTTTTAGTAGTTTATCTCTATACAATGTTTGTTGTACTGGCAGCAGTAACTGATATTTGTGAGTCTTTGGCAGTATCTTCTGCTTCTGGGTTGGTTTTGGTTTTGGACATATTCTGCTTTGGAAGTTGCTTGTTTGAACTTTCATGGGTGCCCTGCAAATTAAGGGATGTGTAAACTGACATGCCACCGAGAGCTGCCACTGCCCCACAAATGCTAATGAACCCTGGATCTGAATTGAATATCAGATACCCTCCCAGCAGGATCACACATGTCTTAAACTGTCCTAAAACCACATGAGAAGTTGCAGAAGTTGCACTGCAGGAACACATGGCAAACAATATTATATAATATTAAACTGTCGCAAACAAATGGGATTTGATTTGTAGTAAGGCGAAATTTGTAGAGAATAGAAGAATAATTTGCCCTAAATATAATCTTAGGATTGATGAAGAATCAATGATAAGTTTTTTGTAATATAATTTAAGGGTTTTAGATGAAAAGAAAGGAAAATAATATGTACCCAAGTGCCAAAGCGCCTGACCATTGGAGGAGAAAACCAAGGAGAGCTGATATGAAAATGGCAGATGAGTTGTTGATATTCCACTTGAACAACAACACTCCTGGTGGATCCAACCATGGCATCAATGCCAATAAGAAGAAAACTGTCACTGGTGTTGTCTTCCACATCAACCTACATCAGAAATTATTCTTTTTTCTATACATTCTTCTTCTCTTTATCTCGCATAACATGAGTTTAATTGCCTAAAAATCTTTCAGGAATTGAAAAAAAAAAAGTTAAGAAAGTTTACTTACGCAAGAGCAGTCCAATTGCTCTGTTGTTGTAGATTAGACCACAAAATTTTGTTAATGGCACTTGGGATTATCCAGGCAACTGCGATACAAGCACCGAAGAAATTGAAGTCCAAGTCTGTCACAGTTGCTATTGCCACACCAATTGAGACAACAGTCAGGGCCAACACCTGCACAATTGCCATTTCATTTCATATATGCTACCTGGAAAATAAGCTTCAGGAATGACTAGTGCATATATGTGTGTACATACACACACATACATGTATATATACATATATGGGATTCACCTTTGTAGAAGCAATGGTTTTTCTAAAGAGGACAAACTCTGCAAGAACAATGGTGGGAGTAACTGCAATTTTAGCCATCTGGTAGAAACCAACACTGCACGTGATCTGAATAGTGAGTGAGAAAAGGAGATACCCAAGAAACTCTGCATGTGGCTGTAATGGAGTCTGAACTAACCTGTTATACTTCAGACTTGTATTGGCAAGGCCTGAGGCAAAAGCCATGACAGCACCCAAGAAGAAGAGAGAAGTGAAAGGAGTAGTTTTTGAAGGAGGAGAGACTGGCAGCAACGAGATTGCCTTGAACAAAGCTAGTAGTATCCATGCAACTGAGTAGTGGATTAAAGTGAGAAAGATTGGAAAATTGAACCCGATTTTTCCCATAACCTGGGGATATAAACAAAACCATGAATGAGAAAACTCGAGCAAGAAAACAACGAATAAACTTGTGATGGATACTACTCGCTTGAATGCATAATAAGTTTTCCACCACTAGTAACATGGTGGACCAGTTTGCTTGCTAACAGCTGAAAGGAGTGCATAAAAAAGGAGAAGAAGAGCAAGCACTGACTATTTTGTTTGTCAGGATAATCCCAACAGCAACCATGAAATTGAAGGTCATAGCCACAACAGGACCACAATATCTCTGCTGTTTTCTCTTTGCTCCTTCTGAAGTTCTGAGCTCATTATAGAGAGAACCTCTGAGTTCTTCCATTGCTCGGCCTGCAATTTCGAGTATTGAGGATTTTGTAACATCATCTATCCGTCATACCATAATGTAATTTAGTGTGCTTTTTAATCCAACAAGGGAGAAAAACCAAGAAAATAATGCACCATAATCAGGAACTTCTGAAGAAGATACTTTTTTATTTTTAATGAATTGGACTATAGGAGAGCTCTCTTATAGAATTATCAAGAAAAGGGTAAAATGGAAGTGGCTTTATTTTTGGAATAAAAATTCATAAAAAAATTAAATAAAAAAAGCAGAAATCTAGAGACCCATGTAAAATGAAAACCATGTTGGGAAATACTCAGAAAGCTGAAAGTGCTGATTTGTTGTACCATTTACAAGACTTACTCATTGTTTTCTTGAAGCAGATTTATTAGACCCATACAAGGAGATATGCCTTGGTTGAGAAAGATGAACAATTACTAATACCATATGCCATCGTAAAGAGAATCCAAAGAGAAGAAATTGCATAATTCCTGAAGCAGTTGATAAAAAGAAAGCATAAAACTGAGAAGAAGACAGCATGTAAATGAGAACTATTGTGAGAACAACTGAGAAGAAGACAGCATGTAAATGAAGAAGTTCATACTAACAGACGCAGGCCGGCGAAGTTTCTAATATTGATTTGTATATATATATATATATGTATATATTTATGTGTATAGACAACCCTTATCACATATAAAAAAGTGCCACCAAAGCAAACGGTAAGGAAAAACCATACATTTCAACCCAAAAACAAAAACAAAAGCAAAATAGTAGATTTATAAATAAGGAGCCAAAATATCATTTGCTTGAATCTGAAAGAAAATATTCCATTTCCATCAAACCCAGCAACAAACCAGAAAACATCAGCCAGTGCCACTAATGGAAAAATCATAAAACATTTGCAGGCCTGAAAACAAACCAATGAAACATAACAACAAACACAATATATGCAAAGTTTAAAATGGAATCAAAATCTAAAGAGCATATTAAAATATATATATAGAACCTGCTTCTCCAGCATCACTGTCTTTCCTTTTGATAAACTTGCGTCCCTCTCTCCCCAGCAGACAACCAAACAAGCCCATGCCAACCCACCAAGCATATGCAAATATATATATATATATATACACCCAACAGAGATTATCGCATTAACAACATGGATACCATTGAATCCATTTTGCTGCCCATTATCTGTTACATCATTCCTCTATCATTATAAAGAAACCACCTTTCAAAACGCTGAAGATAGGGAAAAAAATGGGATTTAAATAAAATTAATGAGAGAGAGATAATTGATGATCAAGTTTGAATATATCAGGAAAGAGTTGTACACAGAGACCATCTCTTTCCTCTGCGTTGTTGTTTTGAATATATATGGAAAAGGTTGTGTCACCCAACTCTATAAATAGAGAGCATTAATGGCCAATAATGATGAGGTATGGTGCCACGCGTAATGTCTGTGAGTTTGGTGAGGTGCAATGGTGGGTGAGATTATAAAGCGAATTAACGTAGTTTTACGGAGAAGGTAAGGTAACATGATTGATGTTTTTTGGCATAATCAAGAAACAGTCAAAAGCAAACGTGGCGCCCTGACCCGTTAACCACTCTTCAAACTTGGGAGGGTTTTATGAACTTGGATGGTGCAAAGCTACACTAAAACCAAGTCACTTATAATTTTTTGTCATTGCACGAACATACAGACATACATACATACCCACCACATATATATAATATATACATATACACACACGCACACGCATGTAAATATTGATATTACTCAGTTTAGTATATGGGGTTTAAATTTTAATTTCATAACTAGTATTGCTTGTAGAAGCTAAATAGTTATTTTTATGTAAAGTTTTACTATTTGAAGGGATATAATAATTTCATAGATAGTATTAAATAGTAATTTTATGTTTTTTTTTCTTTAAATTAGAGTACTTTTAACTGAGTTTATATTGATAAATTTGTTTTTTTTTTATGTAAAAAAAAAAAAAAAAACTTAATTCAAACTAGATATTACAATTAAAAATGCTTATCTAAAGAATTTTTGCTAAAAGGGAAAAAAAAGACAAAACTTTTCTTCTTAGATGTTGATACGTATGCTCTAGAAGGTAACATAATCTATGTTTAGTAGATTCTATGTCAACTACAGTCTTTATCTTACTGCAAATTAGTGGTTGAAACTCAACTACCAGCATAGCATTTTGGTCAACTACTAGCAGGGGGGAAGGGGGGTGTCCTTTGTTGGTTCTGATGCTTAAATAACAAGGTACCTTGAAGATGTAAAAAATGGTCAACTTCTGAGGGTAAAAAGGTCAAATCACTTGTACCAAAAAACTGAAATTCCAACGTTTCATCAACTCAGCAAGGTAGATTCCTGTGAGATATCATAAAAATTTATGATTGTCAGTTTTGCTTCTCGAAAATTCTGTAACTTTTAGACAAAAATTTAACTTGAACTGGGAAAAAAAAACCATGGCAATCCACTGAAATTGAGCCAATAGAGTTTTAGCTCTTGATCCATCTAATGAATTTGTATTAGAAAAGGAACAAGATAAAATGATAACCAAAAGAAGACAGCAAAGGGAAGCAAGAGTGAATGTCTTTGTATGTAAATATGTTTTGCCATTGCCAATCTTGAGAAAATGAATTGCAATCAGATGGGTATGTATTTGAAATTCAGATGTTTGAACTAGTACACGAGGAAGAAAATACATAAATTATCTTTAATATTGACCGTACAAAAGACATTGAAAGAGATCGAATTCAGGCTGCTGGGAGTTCTCAAATTTAAATTTCTTGTTGGTGTTTCTCCAGGTACTCATTTTCTCTTGTAATGGCATCAAGATCAGCTTTCAATTTGGCTATATTTAAGCTTCGAGATGCCATGGCAGCTAGCTTCTTTTCATGTTCGGCACCTTCTCTTCTCACCCTATCAGTCACGAGGATTTTCTCAGCAATCTGTCCAAAGCTCTCATGTATGCTAGTGAGAAGCCTGTAAGCTTGCTTCCCTACTGGGTCTCTTTTTGTTTCCCTGCAAGCGAACACGTTCTATCAGTAAAGCAAGCGATTCATTGTTGAAGTCAGAGAATATAGTTATTTTTATTTTCTTTTTTCTGGGTGGGAAGGGTGCAAGGAGTTTGCAGTTTTAAATGCTTGATACCTAAGGACCATTTCATCCACCACGCTGTAGGTTCTATGGAGGCGCTCTTGGATAGAGTTACTCTCTAACTGAAGTTCCCTAGTTTCTCTCAATATCCTCTCTATATCAGCATCTAGTTTCCGACTGTTCTTTGTTATCTCCTTTATCTGCTCAATATAAGATCTCCGCGATGCTACTTCGGTTTGTTTCTCAAGATCTGCACGAAGTTTAGACTCTTCTTCTTCCCTACAAAGTGAGCAAATAATGAGTACAGTCAATCAATTTCAGGGTGTCAACAAGTTATTTTTCTTACTACCCCAGGCACTCTGGATACTAAAATGAATAATTAAAGATGATTTGAGGTCAAAAATAGGAACATCAACACAGATGATTTTGTTTTCCAAAGACAGGCACGTGCTAAATGGTAAGCACAAGATACAGCCTTTGGGTGATATATTTGTTTTTTGCTTCATAAAGAATCCAACTGTTAGGTTCCAACTCTTCCTTTTTGCCTAATAATAGATTTGTTATGTGCTTGGCTATGTTTATGTGTATGCAAACATTGGCACTACTTTCTGTTCTAATTTTCCTCGATATGTAAACTTCCATAACTCTGGGCAAAAGGAAAAAAAGAGGTCCTACCATGAATTTTACTTTTAGTTCATTATAACGCGATTGGTACACACAAGCACCATGCTCAAGATATACGTAATATCCAGTAGACAATAAATATTCTTCTGGAGACATAAATGTATGACATGATTGATTAGCAGTACAGAGCCCTTGTTTAAACAACATTGTATTCCATCCATGATATATTAACAAAAACAGAACTTCATGTTTGGAAGTCATATCACAAAAAATGTTGGAAATTTACCTCTTCCTGATTTCAGACAAAATGAATTGCTTTTCCAGCTCAAGCTCTCTCAACTTCTGGAGTTTCTCTTTAGCCTCTGGTTTGTCCGCATAAAGAGATTCTTCAAGACTTCTCTTCTTCTCTTCCAGAGACTGTCTGGAAGCTTCCCTACAGAGGATCAGAGTCTCCAGGTAATACTAGTGGTTACATCCAAATCAAATAATTTCATGTGAAGGAAGGCAAACTTTTAACCAAAATTCATAGGATGACAATATAGTACCACTTTGACTCTAATTCCTCAAGATCACGGTTTCCAGCATCTAACTGTTCATTAAGCTGCTTAAGATAAAACTCAACGGGATGAGAATTATCAAATGCCAAATCTGCTGCGGCCTTCAAACATTCGAGCTCTTCTTCAAGACAGCACAACTCTGCAGTCCTTGCCATTACCTCCTCCTGGAGCACCCTTTCTTCATTTCGCAATCTTCTGGTCTCACTTAATACCTAGTAAAACAGTAGACATCAAGCAATAAATATGAACTAGTTTCTCTCTCAAAATTTGGTAAAAGCTTAATGAGCGAAACATGATATGCAGGAAAATATTAACATGTGTACATATGCATCTTTAGTATTTATTTCTCTGATTTGTCAGGCCATATTGAAACTCAGGCTTTCGATTCACTTGCTGATCAGTATGTAGCAATGCTTTTGGACCAGAGCTGAGGTCTTGCAAATCTATCAAAGCCATAAAGTTGTCTAAATAGATGTACCTTGGAATATGGGTCTTCATGATAAGTAACAGTTTCTTCAAATAGTGAAACTTGTTTCCCATCTACCTGGGCAGAAGTTTCCTGGTTTCCTGATGCAGCTGCTCTCAAATTCCCAGGTTGTTCAGCCAGAGCCTTTCTGGCAATCAAGTCAACATGTTCATTCTGGCCCAAAATTTTTCCCTTGGAACAGGATGCATTCTGCACATCCAGTTCTTCCATCTTCTCCGAAAAGAGATAATCATCAAAGGATCCATTGATGGTTGCATCCCCGGCCCTATAATTGGATAGATCAGGCACTTCAGATGTCAGTATAAGATCTTTCAAGACATCTTCAACTTTCTGAAGATTTAGATCTACAGCTTCATTATCAGTCTTCTTCATATTCTCCTCTGAAGTTTCTTTCTTCATTTTCTTTCCATCATCAACATTGTCCACTCGAGAAGTTTTTACACCTTCAGGTGATTCAGAAAGCCTCTCCACCAGAAACCTCACCAACTTATATAGATCTTCTTCAGATGGATACAGGAACTGCCTTAAGGAACACATACAATCTGTTCTAAGCATAATTTCAGAACAAATAAGAATAGCAATAGCCACAATCAGAAGAAAAGCAACCAGATAAAACTGAAGATGCATAAACAAAAGCAAACTCCGAAAATGCAAAAGCAGAAGATTCTAATATCAACTTCCTCTTTTTATCAATCTTCTTTAGAATGTGCCCGTTTAGCAACCATTTTCCATAAAAGAATTCTTGTATCCACCATTTCCAAACAGGTATACTAAAAAATTCACTATTCAGGATACACAAATCAACACTTCTCCCGGAAACAAAACCTAAAAGAGTTAACATGCTCATCAGGACTTGCATTTCGTTCACGAGGTTCATCCAAATTCACCATTCTTTCAGTTTGACCAGAACTCATTGTGCCCAAAATTAATTCTCTCTATGAAATTTTCACATTAAAATATTTTCATAATCAAGAAATCTAAGCTTCAGAAAAATTATTAACCTCCAATCTCACAAAACCCTATTATACGCCAATTTAAGAGCACCGCATATCCTGGTGTTTTGTGAACAAAATAAAATCAGTACCTTGTAATAGGTCACGTCACTGATGTAACCTAGGTTCTTGATGGCGAGTGCGATGTCTGTACAAATTCTGAACTTGTCAGCCATGGAATCGGGAAGGTCGACGCAAAACGACGTAGTATTCTCAATGAGGTTAAGGGACTGACCGCAGATCGATACCAAGATCGCGGGCGTTAGGTCACCGATCGACGAAACGTTTTCTGGGACCGAAACTCCCGATTTCTCCAATGACTTTATCAGTATATCCTGACCATCTTCCATTTTACCTCTCACTGTTTCTCTGCTTCTCTGTGTTTCTCCTATTCGAGTTCTACGCTCCAGCTCAGTTACTGAGCAAAAACAAGAAAAAGGTCTCCTAATTTGTTTAATCTGGTGGAGTAACCTGAGTCATACTAAAACGCAGCCGTTTTGGAATGGAGAGCAGACTAAAGACAAGAAGAAAAACATCCTTTCACCTATCTGAAAGGCATTTACCCATAAACTATGATCGAGAGTTTTCTTCTTATCCCACAAAAGATGGGAACTTCACATATACATCATGCATATGCACACATATAACATATATATATATAGTTTAAGAATGGTTACAAGTCATGTTGGCATTTGTGGTTGATATATGTAAAGAAGAAATTTTTATGACACAAATAATTTTTTTGTAGTATAATTTGTGTGTCAATTCCAAAATGGTTCCATATATTTAGGTCTTACACTTTATATATAATATATATATGTTATAGTTGAAGAAATGGTTAAAACTTAAAGGGGTGTTTTAGAGGCAGAAACAAGCTTTTCATGGCCTCAAGAGTTCGTAAACATAAGCACTGAAAGCATGTGAGCTACCAAACCACACCCTTCCAAAGGTATATAGGCAGGCTTCTGGTTTATTGCAGTTGATTCACTTGCAATGCAGATTTTTGGTTCACTCATCTCCCAATATATGTGTGTGTGTATATATATATATGCACATATATACCCTGCACTTCTCTGGGTCTAAATTAATTAGAAGTGTAAGTTTATATCCAAAAATAACATGGACAGAGGAAGAAGAGAGGAGGAGATTGAGGACATGTCCTTGTCCCCTCCATCAATGGGGTCTATGCAAATTGCAGGCAGCAATATTGGCTTTGCCCACAACATTGAATTCATGTCCCAAGCTTACCTTAGAAATCGATACTCCGAAATTGATATCGAAAATGTTTCTTCTTTTGCAAGTAAAGACCTCCCTCTTCCCATATTTCTTAAGGTACTCATAGTTTTCATTTATTCTTTATATATATATGTTATAGTTGTGTATAATATGTATATGATGTGGTTGGGTGATGGTGGTAATTTATGCAGTTTGAAGATGTGGAGTATAAGGTGAGAAATAGCCAAGCATCCTCCATCAATCCAGTCAAGGCTGTGGTGTCAAAAGTAGCTTCCCAGTTGAACATGGAGCAAGACAACTACAAGCAAATCTTGAAGGGTATAACAGGCAGCATTGGCCCTGGTCAGATCCTTGCCCTTATGGGTCCTTCTGGGAGTGGTAAGACAACCTTGTTGAAGATCATCGGAGGAAGATTAATCGAAAACATTAAAGGGAAGATAACTTACAATGAAGTTCCCTACAATCCAGCCGTTAAGAGAAGGTTAATTTGCCAAACTTCAAAAATGCCCCAATATTGTTTCATAATTATAATTACACTTTTTCAAGTAAAATGATATCTTAAATTTTAAAAAACGAAGATCCATGACGAGAGTTATGCCATTGGGGCTAAAAGGTTCAAGTTAACAAAATCTTGACGAGTTATTGTTGACAGGATTGGGTTTGTGACACAAGATGATGTGCTGTTCCCACAACTTACAGTGGAAGAAACATTAGTGTTTGCTGCATTTTTGAGGCTTCCAGGAAGCATGAGTAGACAACAGAAGTATGCCAGAATAGAGATGATTGTAAAGGAGCTAGGACTTGAAAGGTATGCATGTCAAGTCCATATATACACACGAAGTACAAGTATGAAACTTTAATTTGTATAATTTTTGTTATTTGACTCTTTAATTTCAGTATCATATTCATGTCGGACACAATAAGACATTGGTATGTATATAAATACTACTTGTACTTTGAATTTCTTGACTCAAAATTTTGTATTTTTGATTAAAAACTATTGATTACATACTTGGATCTACGATTAGTGAAAAATTTGTTCCTGGGTTCGAGCGACATATATAGTCTGTCACTAATGAATCTCCTAAATATATGAATTTAGATGTCGACATACGCGAATCGGAGGAGGATTTGTTAAGGGAATATCAGGAGGAGAAAGAAAAAGAACAAGTATTGGTTATGAGATTCTTGTTGATCCTTCATTGTTGTTGCTTGATGAACCCACTTCAGGTCTTGATTCAACCTCAGCCAATAAGCTTCTCCAGATTCTTCAAGGAGTAGCCAAGGTCACATAATTACAAATTGAGTTTTATATTTTTATCACACAATAAGATTATATGTCTTTGATATTTATACATATATGGCCCATATATATATATATATATATATATAGGGTGGGAGGACTTTGATCACTACAATTCATCAACCATCAAGCAGAATGTTTCACATGTTTGACAAACTTCTACTCATATCAGAAGGCTATCCTGTGTACTGTGGCAAGGCAAGAGAGTCGATGGAGTACTTCTCGTCATTGAGATTCATCCCGGAAATCACAATGAATCCGGCTGAATTCTTGCTTGATTTAGCTACAGGACATGTCACAGATATAAGTCTTCCAGAAGATCTATTGGCAGCCCAAGGAGCTCATGACTCGGAGGAGGCTGTCATTAAAGTAACGATTTCAAATCTCAAGACTTAAATTATATTTCGAAAATTTTTTTACTTTTCGCATTTAAAAAAACTTATATAGCTTTTGTATCTAACCAATTTTAAGGTCTCAAATTTTAAGAAGTAAAATTGTTTAGATTTTTAAGTTTAAAATATTAGATTTTCAAAATTTTTACATTTGTAAGAACTACATAAATTACTCTTGCCAAGAAAAATTAACTATTCCCTACAGCATTCATTAACTCCTTGTATGTTACATTAGTATCTTCAATTCAAATACAAAGCTCAGTTGGAGCCAAAAGAGAAAGAAGAGAATCATAGAAGCTCGAAGGCACCGGAGCATCTTCAATTGGCAATTCAAGTGAAAAAAGATTGGACACTTTCGTGGTTGAATCAGTTCATGATAATAGCAAAGAGAACTTTTCAAGAGCGATACAGAGATTATTTCGATAAACTTAGACTAGTTCAAGCACTCGGCATAGCAGTCATGTTAGGCCTTCTTTGGTGGAAATCAAAGACAGATACCGAAGCTCATCTTAGAGATCAGGTAATTAATTTAATTCTCCTGAAAAGTTTTAATTAAATGTAAGTTAATTAACCCTTTTTATTTAATTGATCTATGTTTAAACAAATCATCACAAACACTAATTCCAAAAACTTTGATTGAAGGTTGGTCTAATGTTCTATATCTGCATATTTTGGACATCTTCTTCAATATTCGGAGCTGTTTACGTCTTCCCATTCGAGAAAATCTACTTGGTGAAAGAAAGAAAAGCCGATATGTATAGATTGAGTGTATACTACATTTGCAGCACGTTATGCGACATGGTAGCACATGTTTTTTACCCAACAATTTTCATCGTTATCGTCTACTTCATGGCGGGATTCAAGAGAACACTTCCTTCCTTCTTCTTGACATTGTTTTCCATACTACTCATTGCTGTTACAAGCCAAGTAAATCTAATTTACACTCACTAATGTTTAATTAATTAGCTTTATAATTGAGTTTACCAAAATTAATAACTTTTTTGGTTGATTAGGGAGCGGGAGAACTATTTGGGGCTGCAAGTTTGAGCATTAAAAGAGCTGGCATGATTGCCTCTTTGATCCTAATGCTATTTCTTCTCACTGGTGGCTATTATGTCCAGGTACATACATACGTATAATTGAATTAAATTAATTAAAATTTTTATTTAAAAAATAAAAATAATTGATACATCGTTTGTTCTATAAAAAATTATAATTTTAAATTGAATTACATTTTTCGGTATATACTCAATACGAACTTGTATATATATATATATATGACTTGATAAAAAATCAACGAATAAGGTCGTATTCGATTTTCTTATGTTAATTAAGTTAATTTTAAGCTTAATAAGAATAATATTCTACGCCAAGCAATTCATTTAATTTCAAGTGGTTTTTGTTTTTCCTTACTAAATAGTATATTGGGATTTAAAGCGATAATTTAATATATTTATTATGCGATGATTAACTAAAATATGTTTATAGTTAACAAATTGATGGGTTTAATGCAGCATATACCAAAATTTATGCAATGGTTGAAGTACTTGTCGTTCATGTACTACGGATTTAGACTTCTATTGAAAGTGCAATACTCAGGAGAGGAATTATACGAATGCGAGAGCAAAGGAGGTTGTCGGACTCTGCAAAGTTCGCCATCATTCGACACGGTAAACTTGAATGGTGGCTTGCAAGAAGCTTGGATTTTGTTGGCAATGGCATTAGGTTATCGGTTATGCGCTTACTTTTGTCTTCGCCGGAGAATCAATGTCTCCCATCTCTAAATCTTCAAATGTAAAATGTAGATTAGTGCATTAAAGCAAAAGGGTTTTTGTATTTCCTTCAAAATCTTCAAGCTTTATACCAATATATAAATATATATACACACACATACACACACGTAGAAAGCTCTACATGAATCAGAAGAATGAATTGTACTATGGAGGGAATTAGACTCTGTTTGTTTTCTTCTAGTATTAAAAATTTGCAACTAATGATTATTTTTTAATTATATAAATTTTTTATTCATCATAAAATATCAAATTTGAACTATAATGTTAACATGGCTTTAACAATTTTTATTTTTATGATAGAAATATATAAAAGTCTAAATTGTTATTAGGAATTTCAAGTGTTTAGCCTGATAATAGTAATATGAATAATACTGAAATTTTTTATTTAACAAAAGAATTAAAATTTAAAAATTACATTCCCTATATTTTGCTAAAATACCCAAATAGGGATTATTAAAATGTTTAGAACT